AAAAGATTTCAGTTTTTCCCCATTTAGGATTATGTTAGCTGTTGGGTTTTCATAAATGGCTTTTACGAGATTGAAGTAGAGGCCATCTATTCCATGTATAATTTTTTTAAATGTATGTGGTACACAGGGTCAGGGCTCGATCCCTGGCATGCCGTACCAGGGTTGCACTGAGACAGGATTGAGACTGGGCATGGTGGCACATGTCTATGATCCCAGCGCTTGGGAGTCTGAAAATGGGAGGATCACTGCAAGTCTGTTCTGTGTAGTGAGGCCCTGTACTAAATACATTTAAAAAAAAGAATTATGTGGTACAGAATCTCACTGTGTAGCTTGGACTCATAGTGATCCTCCCATTTTCAGTCTCCCCAGTGCTGGGATTACAGGTGTGTGCCACCACTCCTAGTCTCCATGGCCTGCTCAATGCACCTGGGGGTGAGGCCGGCATAGCATGTGGTGCTAGGGATCAAACCCCTGTGCTATCTTTTAATAGGAATTAAACCCAAAGATTTTTGTGAGGTATGTATCTGTGTGTGTAGTTTGGGAATCCAGCAGTTCACATGCTCACAGTGACATTGGGCCCCATACCACATAATCCAGTTAAAAGAAAAAAATTGTAGACTGGGCGTGGTAGTGCGCACCTGTAATCCCAGTGCTTGGGAGGCTGAAAACAGGATCACTACAAGTCTGATGTGTGTAGTGAGACCCTGTAGGCCCTGTACTAAATACAAAAAATTTTAAAAATAAATTTAAAAAATAAATAAAAATTGTGATTAAATATATTTAACAGAAAATCTATCATCTCTATAATTTTTAAATGTATAGTATATTGTCAAGCCAATATCCATCCAAAACAACTCTTCATCCTACAAAACTGAAACTGTACCCATTAAATAAATCCCCATTCCCCCTCTCCCAGCTCCTGACAGTCAGTCACCTTTCCATCTCTGATCTTCACTTTTGCATCATTTGTCTTTTTCAGACCAACTTTTTTGTTATTTGTTTTGAGACAGGGTCTCCCATATAGTACAGGAGGCTGGCCCTGAACTCACTGTGTATCTTACACTGGCCTTGACCTTGCAGTGATTCTCCTGCTCAGCCTCCTGAGTGCTAGGATTGCAGGCATAGGTCTCCACACCCAGCTCTTGGGCACCTGTAGCAAAATGTTCCCATATGAACATTAATTGAAACTTGACATGGTGGCACATGCCTATAATTCCAACACTCAAGAGGTGGAAGCACGACGATCACTGTGAGTACAAGGCCAGCCTGGGCTACAAAGCAAGCTCAAGGCCAACCTGAACTATATAGCGAAACCCTGTCTGAAAAAGACAAAAAACAAAAACATAGTTATTTCATGTTGTACCATGTCGCAATTTCCTTTTTGAGGCTGCTTACTACTGAGTTCTAAAGGGGAAAAACAAACTCTACATGCCTGCCTTAAAGGATTACTTTATTAGTGTCATTTTAAACATTGCATAAGTACAGCCTATACACAAGAGTATCAAACATTGTTCCAGTAAGAAGCTCAAGAGTGCATTTAGGGTTATTTTAAGAAATGTGAGTGCTTTGGTTTCCATATTACATCAGACGAAAAAAGTAAAGAACAGTTTTAGTCTTTTGCTAGGATTAACAACGAAACCAAGTAGAAAAATAAGACAGTGTATGTTTTTTTTAAAAAAGTACTTTTTGAAGGACTTGTTTTCTTCACTAATACATACACAAATTACTCAATAATCTGAGAAGTGGTTCTTCACCTGTATTAGGAACTCAGTTATTTTTTTCAGTGAATGAACTATCTGGATATGGATCTGCTATTTTTAATTTGTGCTTTTGACTTTTTTCAAGTAAGCAATAGTAAACATACTTAAATTTTCATTTTATTCAGGTCATAAAGCTACAGAACTGTAATAAACACTACCTACTATAAGCAAATTAATGTGCATTCACCATCCAGTAAGAATAACTATTATGCTGCAGAGCTAATTCTAATCTAGTAGTTCACTGAGCTTCGATTGCTCATGATATGATCAAGGAGAGAGAGTACAGGGTTGGGACTTCAGGTTTGCAGTTATTCTGCCTGTTAAAAATTCCTATCTTTGGGACCTCACTCCCTACTCACCCCCAATAAATGTTTGCTGCAACAGTAACTACAGAGTATCTGCTTCCTGTTGTTAATGTGAATCTGAGAACATTCAGGCTCCAAGTCCAGAAGGGGCACTTCTAAGCAGGAAATGGAATACATTATGAGAGCACACACAAATGGAAATGAGTTCATGAACCAGACAGCAGGACAAAGCTTTGTTCTTGAAACAAGCTCAGTGGACACATGATCAATCAGAGAGGTGAACGCTCTTAAATTCCAAAGTCACATTTCATAACCAGACCAAACAAACCTATCTTTTAAACAAGACATTTTTGGGAAAACCATGATTTTACAGCTCTCTCAACATTACAGAGTACACCTAACAAAAAAAAGAAACCAAAAGTAGGTGGTAAAGTTTTTTAAATAAGTTAGTTTGTGTTAGAGTTTGGCCTAGATAAAAAAAAAAAATAAAGCAAATTCCACTTAAGTTGTAAAAGAAAGGTGTTTTTAGGGACTGTTTCTTCAAGCCACAGTGTAGCAGGCCTGATGATTCAGCATCCATCATAAAGGCAAGAGTGTACTATATGTGTCACTGCTTTTCCCTTATGAACTAAGGGAAAAGGTAGAGTAACAAATTTTACTTCTAAAATTCAATTGAATGAAAAAAATGGATAAATGGTGGAGATTCTAGTTACAAAATATTGGACTGTATCGAAAGTTTCCTTCATTATCAACTTTTCATGAACAGTTCTAAATTTCTATTCTTGATGACTTAAATCTTGAGAAATCTTGGTATAGAAATGATTACTTATTTCAGTAGGCTTATTAGTTTGATACATCTCTTGAAGTTAAAAAGTCATTAGCAAAAGCACAGGAACAAAAGTCTTGAGCAGCTCTAACTTCCCCCTCACAGGAAGGTTCAGGATGGCAACTGATGGAGCACTTCAAGGCCAGGGTCAGCGTCTATTACTCATGGTAGCGCCTCTGCAGTCACCTCACAATTGACAAACTCAACAATCCTGGCATCCAACGGCTGTGATACATAACCCAGGACAGCTGCAGAACTTCCTATACCTAAATTCCACAGTGCTTCTCACCCAAAACCAAAGCAACTAAACTTGCATGCTCTTCTCAGTGTTCCAGCTCAGATGTCAAGAGGGGTTACATTTAGAGTATATGTATCTGGAAATAAGTTGTTTAAAAGGGGCTCAGAAGAAGCCATATATCCTTCATGAATTCCTACAGAGACTGAGTCTGAACCACCAGATAGGTTTTACCTGCAGAATCACACTGTCTGCACAGCACAGGCTGGACATGTTCCCACCAGTGCCCAGAGCACGCACTCACACCCCAGCAGCTTCAGTTCTTAAAGGCTCCACATTTACTGGCTTTAGCAATGAACTCCTTTAGCAGAGGGCCATCCATTTGCCAAAATGCTGCAGTCTGTGTAACTTCTGTCAAATGATTGATGCAAAACTTAAAGCAGAATTCTTCTAAATCCTGGACACACACAACAAAAATAAAAACAAGAAGAGGCCTTTTAAAATTAACTTTGAATTCTCTCAAGCATCTCACCCCAACTCTCTTACCCTTCCCCAAAACTGTTGAGAGGCCAGATTCCTCAAAGTTGGCGATGACCACAAAAGCACACTAATTACAACACAGTAAAAATAATGGTTGGTTCCCCAAGTTCAAATGTGACTTTTCCAATACACACATACACACACACATATATATCTTGGGGCCAGGGTGACAGCTCAGTGGAATAAGTGCTGGCAAGGTCCTGAGTTTGATCCCTGGTACCACCAAAAAAAGACAAAAACACATATATCTCAGGGAGGGAATTCTACCATGGTTATATAGTCCGGTTATACTCACTGTTGTACAAAGCTAAAGGACACTTTAATGGACACAATGGCTTTTGCTACATTTAAGAAATCAGAGTAAAGAATTAAGATGAGGGTTAAAGAAGAGACTTTGAAAAAATAAAAGGATGCAGATTTGTGGTCAATCCATAATTACAGATTAGAAAGAAAATCTCCAAAACTTCAAATTCACTTCTGTACTTTCCTAATGGGGGGGGAGGGGTACTGCAGACTGAACCCAAGGCTCATGCATATTAGGCAACTGCTCTAACCCCTGCGTTTTGAAAAAAATACTTGTATCAATAACTTCCCAGATACTTAACCTGAGAGAACAGTATTTTCACAGATTAGACTTTTCCCATCAGACATGATAAACCAGTTGCCATCATTCAGAAAGTAACATACACAAGTGATAAACCAGAACAATTTAAAAATCATTTTCTACCTATGTTAACACATCTATCCTAATATTACTCGTTACTTCAAATATATTTATTTAGGAGGCACTTAGAACATATACGGTGCAGAGACTGGATATATAAAATCAAATCACATTAAAAGCTCTCACTACATATGGGTTAATTTTTATAACCTGCCCAGTTGGTTAAGTTATACACCAAATGTTAATAATTATTGACTCTTACCACATGAGGTCAGCAGGTCCTGAACTCATGTTTCCACCCACCATGAGATGAGAATTTTAGAGCAGAGAAGGACCCACACAAACACGTAGATAACTTTCCTGCTCTCTCAGCACAGTTATTTCCTTATTCAAAGGATCTTATCTCTTGTCTGAAAGATGTCCAAGACTAAACTCAGGGAAGTTTCACATGCATGGAACTATTTAAGAGATGTAAAAGGGCCAACTGTCAGAGTTTTGTATTCTGAGTAATTCAAAGTGCATTTAAAATTCAGCACACAGGGCCGGCCAGATAGCTCAGTGAACAAAAGCACCTGCTTAGGCAGGGTGCAGCGGCCAGGGTTTGATCCCAGGCTTGCTGTGCTGGCCCCACCCCCTGGGCTCTCTGAGACGATGATTAAGACTGGGCGTGGTGGCCCGTGTGTATAATCCCAGCACTTGGGAGGCTGAAAACAGGAGGATCACTAGAGACCCTGAACACCCTGTAGACCCTGTACCAAATACATAAAATTAAATTAAATTAATAAAATCCAGCACAATGTCTGGGTCCATGTTTCTTATTCAGACTCCTAGTGCAATAATGTTGAACTTAATGTTTTATGGATTATAGTAAACTAAATGTAAAACTATAAAACACTCCCACTCAGATGATCATTCAAGAAAAAGCACTACACCTTTGTAACACATAGCTCTTAGGACTAAATTATTTTCCACAGGGACATAAAAATCACTTTTTAATCATTTCTAGTAATCAAAACTAGTAAGCAAATTTATTTACATGTAATTTCAGAAGTAATCAGACATGAGCACAGAAAGTTCTTCAAATTGTCAAATAAAAATCTTTAAATACTACACTTTAATTACATAACTTCAAATTCATAGGAAAAAAGTACACTAAATGTTCACATCATAAAACCTTATCACTTCTGTTTGTTAATCTAGAATTCAAGATATTTTAATGTATAAGAAAACATGAGTTTATTCATCTTACTGATTGTATACAGAAATTACTATAAGCTAAATACTGATCCACTCTTTATATAGTATAGGTACACAAATGGTGCTTTAATTATAATTCACTTTATACACCCATGAAAATAGTTCTATCAAACCACCTTCTCTTCCCCTTCAATTAATTTGAACTGGTGATAAAGTATATCTCGGTATTCAGTATTTGAATGGTTTCAAACACTACAGAATACTTACAATAAGCTATCTCTGGTTTACTTGATTAACTAATTGAACTTTGATTACTGCAGATCTATGTAAAAAAGAAACCACTGAAAGCATTCAGAGACAAGTAATTGAGTTTCAAGTTCATTTTCTCAAACAGACAGTGGCGGAATCCATCAGCCTCACTTACCAGCTATTGCCCTGAGTTTGCCTTTGATGGGTAAATTAGGCAAATGGTCTTCTAATGAGGCCACTCTTTTAAACAACATATATAACCTGTTCACTACATTTCTGCAAATGATCAATCTGATCTTCAATTACTTAGACTAGACAATGCCAACTCACACCCTACTAAGGCCAGCTGTAACAGGATTGCTAGGGTTTAACTATTAAACAATTTCAAGAAGGAAACATTGGACCACTAGATCAAAAAAAGATTCACAACAGAATAAAAGTAAATGAAACAATGTCAGAAAATGAAAAAATGTCAAAATAAGTCTCCTTAAGGTCCATGGAATAGTCTTGTTACTGGAAACTATATGACATTCTGTGGTGAAATTTTTATGAAGTGGTTCTCAAGCAAATCATCAGACTTATTATAATGTGCAATAAAAATTGCCATTCTGAAATAATTTAGCAGGACATGGTGGCACATGCTTGTAATCCCAGTAGTTGAGAGGCTGAGGCAGGAGGATTGCTGCAAGTTCAAGTCCAGCCTGAACTACACAGTAAGACTCTGTTTCAAAAAAATAAATAAACAAAAATGAAATAATTTATACATTTCCAAATCTTTAAACATACAAAATACTCCACTCATTATACATATATGTTCACAGATTCAATAGATTTTATTTAATAACAAAACAGAAGAAAGACTTAAATATCCTCTTTTTTAAAATGTCAATACAGCCTTCAGAGTCCTTACCTAATCCTAAAATTCCAAAGCAAAAACCCAACTGAACACTAACACTTCTTGGAGGACCACCTGGCCAGCATGAGACAGGACACTCTGTGGCACTGCCCTTGAGACACATTCCACAGGCGATCAAAAACCACACAAACCTGTTGTTAATTTAAAAAACGTTAAGTTTATAGTTCATTTTATCATATATGAACTACAAAATATTTTATAGCATATAAAGTACAAAATGTAGGTTTTCATTTTGTTTTTCAGAATGTATGTAAAAGTCCTACTATATGGGGAAAAAAAAAATAAAGGTGCTTTTACTAAGCAAAGATTCCATGGCCTACTCAGCAGGTAAAATTTTTAATGTGACTCTCTGGAAGAAGAAAAAAAATGCTGACCTCTAGGTTTAATACACAGCTTTCCAACATTCATATCAAAAAAACACTTTCAAATTAGATTTTTGGCCTGGCATGGTGGTGCAAGACTGCAATCCCAGCGTTTGGGAAGTTGAGGCAGGAGGATCACTTCGAGTTCCAGGCCAGGCTATGTTACATAAGTAAGTTCAAAGCCAGCCTGCCACTACACAGTGAGACCAGCTCAAACAAACAAACAGATAATAGATTCCTGAACTGTCATTTATTGCTCCTAACGGAAGCAAAATAATTAGGATGTAAGTTTCTTAGCAAGTAAGATTTTCATCAAAGGTTCTCTGAATGAACAAATATAGCGGAAACAAAAATGTACTGAAAAGGATGAGCATACATAGAAGCATTTCACAAGTTTTACACTGTGCTACTTAAATATCCTGAAACAAAGTTATATTCTCATTTTCTCCTTGGACGTCAATATTACTCAGGTCTTCACTGAAGAACTATTTAAGCACTCCTTCAAGTCTTTCTTATAAAATGACAGAAAGTTTAACAATGCATTCATAAAAAAGCAAAGGCCCCTACAAGAACTTTTTAAAAAAAATCTGTGTAATTATTGAGTCTATAATTTTCTTTGAATATCTGATTTAAAATTATGTCAAAAAGGGACACGGAAATACCACAATAACTTCACAGAAAAGAGAAGCAGGTAGTCTCCATCTTCCTCGTATTTGACCCACACATAATGCAAAGTCATCTAGGATTCCCATATTGCTGAGATTTTAGTTTTTGCAGTTAATTTGCAATGTGAATTAATACAGTGTAGCTTCCAATTAACTAATACATACAAGTGAGTTTCACTTTTATACTTCAAATACCATTTACTTACTGTATTCTATAGTATTAAGGAAGTAAAACATAAGAGTATATTAATCATTTATATGGCTCATATCAGAGCCTCACAATTAAACCATAAAAAGAAACAATGCTTTTGCTTTCACCTTTCCATTACCTATCTTATTCTACATTGTATAGTATTGAATGTGTACTATTAGAGGATTTTAGGTTTTAAATATTCTTTTTAATAATGCCCTTTTGTGGTGTTACAAATCCACTCACTTAATTCTATATATATATATATAGTATTTATATATATATATATATATATATATATATATATAGCACATTTTTTTCTTTCTTTTTTTGTTTACTACTAAGTATTGAACCCAATGGCCTCATACATAGTAGCACAGTGCTCTACAATTGATCTACATTCCAGCCAATTCAGCACATACTTTTGAGCAATGGCTATGACACTAATGCTATAGGCAGCTGAATTAGATGGAAATATTATAGTCAGGCAGCGCCAGGCCATCAAAGAGACACGATGGAAAACAAGGTGACTTTGAGACTTGGAAGAGACTGACACTCTCATGTGGGCCACACCTCAAGACCAAGACAAAAGAAGAAACACAGCTACATACTTCCCCAGGGACCACATCCGGGACTGATATTCTAAATAGCTATCAATCACCTTGAAACAGCCC